AGTGGAAAAAAAAAAAACCATTTCACTTCAATGCATACACCACCTGTGAAAAGTGGTACCAGTTTTTAATAATACCTACAATGTATATTTACTACTACTTGTGTTATTTTAAGTGTTTTGCTAAATTGTTAATAAATTATCCACGAGTTTTCACATTCGGTTTAATATCAGAAAAGGGACCTACACATGAAATAGCACAAAAAATGAAATTTAGTTTTCTATTAAATGGCAAAGGGTGGGAAACAGGTGATCAGAATTGGGAACCAACGAAAACAATCTCAGTCAAGGTATGAAAATATGTTTTTAAATATAATTATTTTGGTTAACCAGTAACAGTAACTGTGATCCCAGTGGTGGGAACCTACGCCTTCCATTTTTCGTATCCCTTCATATCCCTAACAACTACACTGGTTTTCGTGAACGCTATAGCTAATAACTTTCGTGTCATATTTTCAATAAACACATTTGACTTTAAACGTAAATCTCTTTTTCATAATACATACGTTAAATAATAGAACTAACAACAATTTTTGTTCCTGGAATCTTCTATCTTATGAAAACTTTCTACCGTAAGGAGACGTCCCAAAACATTTTGTACAATAACTACATAATTATTATTTTAAAATAATCAAAACCTAAATGCGTGCGTATTTTACATTTATTGTTACAACATTATTAATTTATTATATAAAATATTATACACTTTTGTAAGTCAGTATTTGTGAGAATTGGTGGATTGACTTTCGTGTTAGTTGAAACCTGTATTTGACACGTGGACAACCACATAGGATAATTACCTACTCTATAGCTGACTGACTGGCTCATTAATTAAAATAAACGCAAAAAGCTGCTGCAACTCTCTTAATTAAAAAAAAACCTATAGTGAAATAATAATTACTTCACACTAGTATTGACAATTGCATTGAAAGTTAGGTTCTTGAAATTTGGTTATACTTTTATATAAAAGTAACATTGAACTGCATTTATAATAATTAATTTAATTTAATATTATTAATTTTTTAATATGATAATTGTATGAATATAAGACAATAGTTTGTATTTCAATTGTATTTCAATTGTAAGAGGCTAAATAAAACTTCCATTTGTTTCTCTGTAAGTAAAGAATGCAATTTTATTTATCGAGTAGGTTACACACTGATACAATCCTTACAAGACTAACACAATCTCACCTGTAAGTAAAGAAACGACAATAAAAGTTTATTGTTATCACCTCTCGATGCATATAGCTTAACTAAGTATGAAATTAATTAACAAATAAGATTAAAATACAATTCAACGATATCAGCATATTTGTCCTTTATATCTTTGACAATGACAACTAGCTTGACGTGACACGACGCGGCTCACTCACGAACTGCCAGTGCGCGCGAATATTCAAATTAAAGAGATCATTCTCTTTACATGTATTATACATATGTGAGCAGTAGATACTTTTCTTCCAGAAATAACATGTATTACCGTAATAGCCTAGCAATCAATTTCTCTTTTGTTTAGGAACATTGCCTCGATAATTTAATCACACACCTATAGTTTACAATATTGAGTGCCTTTGATAAGAATAATAAATGTCTATAACCTTGAACTATACTTGATTTGTGTTATAATTTTTATCATTTAATTCAAAAATGTGAACAAACTAAAGCAAAATATTTCTATTATCTATTTGTGTATTACATTTGACCCTCTTATCATATAATGTACGGATATTAAATGTTCTTATCTATATTTTATTTAAGTTAGGGTAGATTTTGATTTACGAGTATATTTCTAAAGATATTTCGACGGGCCTGTTGGTCTAGTGGTAAGTGACACTGACTGCTAAGCTGGAGGTCGTGGGTTCGATTCCCACCCAGGACAAATATTGTGTGATGAGCACGGTCGTTTGTTCTGTGTCTGGGTGTAATTTATCTATAATATGTATGTATATAAATATATATATATGTATGTGTATCAGCAGTCTGGTTACCACAGCACAGGCTGTGCCTAGTTTGGGCCGTGTGTGAGATGTGTGAGGTTTATTATTATTATTTTAAAGGCAATTTTTCAAAAATAGATATTTTAAATCATTTGCCTGTGCTTTAATATTTATTTATTTGCCAGGTGTCCGGCAAGGATCCGTATGATGCAACAGTTTTTGCTGTTATCATGAGTGCTATCACAGTAATAAAAGAAAGATGGAATATGCCAACGTAAGTTTATTCTTCTCTTTTATATACAATGATACCTCTAAAAAACATTAAAATAATCGCATTTTAGAAAAGTATATTATTATATTTTTAGAGCGATGTATTTCGTTTCTTTTTCAGAGGAGGAGTGCTCATGCCAGGCGCTGCCTTTTACGAGACCGACTTAGTCGATCGATTAAAAGATGTTTTCACGTACGAAGTATTGAAATGATGCCAAAAAGATTTAATTTATATATAATATTATGCTTGTTTTTATTAATTAATGAATATATGTCAAGGAATGTAATAAAGTGTTTTGAATATTTTGAGAGTTTTAATTACCGTGGGTGACAATTCTTTTAGCTATTGTGTGGTTAAGTTGAAATGACAATTCCTTTTTGTGACCTGATTCTACGCTCGGAATTAGCTACAGTCTTGATAAAACCCCTACATTTAATGTTACAGACACGTAACATTAAATGTAGGGATCTTAAGTTAGAACAGTATGCCATACAGTCCTGTACCTTATCATTGATCTAAAGTTCACTATTACCTGAGTGGTAGCCACAGACTAGTAAAATGTAGCAAGCTAGTGGTAGCTCAGAATAAACGAGCTGTTAGATGAGAGAAGACACGACACGATGTTTTATATACGCAAACAAGTATAGTGAATTTTGATTAATGTACTAAGTTGTGGAAGTGGCAGCGTTCACCACTACGATCCCTAGCGTAGTACAAACTCCCCTTTTTTTTTGTTTTTCCGTGCGGAAATCCCCTCGGATACCACCTATTGCTAAGTGAAAAAGGCTGCTACGACAGAAAAAACGAATAGGGTGAACTGTTTTTTGATAAAATAGCTCCTTCTTACGTACCCTCTATAGAAGAGAGTGACTGTGTGCCACCTAGCTTTGATTTAGAAACATCTGACTTGTCATTCTCCCCTCAGGAACTAGATATGGTGCTTGATCATGTCCAGGACTCAGCTCCAGGGATTGATGGAATACCATACTCCTTCCTTACCCATTTTGGGATCAAAGCAAGGGAATATTTCCTTAAAATAATAAACTAGTGTTGGAGCGCCTACGTCGAATGCGTTAGCAATATGTTAACGCTCATAGTGTAAGCTCACTGTCATAATCATGTCATGAATATTCTGTCTCATTTTATTTTTTTTCGTTTGTAAGTTCATTATAAAAGCTCACAGCATACAGTCCACACGCCTGCCTTTTTATTTCGTGAAGTCCTAAATTCCTAAACATGGTCCTATCGTACCGGATAATCGGTAATCAGCTATATTGTTGAAGAAAATCAATTATACAAGGAATATCAACTAAAGATATAATTAAAGAAAAAAATATTCACGGGCGTCAACTACCGGCGAAGTGGTATGTGAAAGGAGTACTTGTTGTGTTAACTTTTATGCATCAGCTATATCGTAACCCAACACTCTATTCAGGTAATATAAGCGAACTGTATTGAAAATAGTATCAGGTTAGTGTATTATTATCAATTTTATTGTATCAATTAGTGTAGTTTCATCGCATAGGTATCTACCACACAGTTAATAGTAAATGTGAATAGTGCTTTTAATCTTAATAAGTAGCAGTTAAGTTGCAAATCATACTTATTTGTAATAGGTATAGTAATAATTAATATTACGTTATATCAATTTAATTGTTGAGATAAAAAGTTTAATGTAAAAATATTATTCACATATAAGTAGGTACTTGGGTGTAGATGTTAGATACAATTTGTTGAGTGTTAGATATTATTTGGTATGCAATAATTAGCGATTGTTAACATTTTATACCCGCATAGGTATACTGCTATACTCTTTCTTTTCTGTTTGTTAATATTTAGTGAGTCATTTTATAAAACGAGTTTGTACTTAGTATTCGCTTACTACCGTTGCCGTTTATTGTATTGTTGGAATTTTATGTTGTTATGTAGTATAAAATAAAGGTTATACTTATTGTATTGGAAATACTGGAATACTACAGAGTCTGCAGGGTTCAGACTTGTGGTGGTCTGGTCCTAGCTTTCTACTACAAGAGTCATGTAACTGGCCGTCTTTGGTTAAAGGTTCGGACTCGGATACTCTTCCCGAAACTCGACCCGATGTGTCACTAACCGTTAGCACGGTACAATTATAAAACAGTACTCCAACTTCATACAAACGGACGAAACGCGAGCTATACCTACGCGCCTCGATCTCGGGGTGCGCTCGGGGCGCATACAGTCAGACAGACAGGCTGTACCGCAGTGTCGAACGGACGGTATGTTGTTTTTTTAACAATAACCGCGCGATTTTTTCTCTAAAAATCAGTTAATATGACGAGTAGGAAATATTGTGCTGTTTTTGGTTGTATGAATTCGTCAATAACGCATCCAGACATAAAATTTTTAAATTACCTGGAAACTGAAAGGTAAGACTATAAAATAATTTTACTTACTAGTAGGTAGGTAGGTACATAATGTGTCTTTTTAATGGATAAATATTTCCTTTTGTTTCACGAAAAAAAAGGTGTTTGGATTAATAAATAAAGCGAATAGAGTAACGGAAAGTTATTGAGACGAGTGAAATAGGTAGTTATATGCGGTTCTGAATGAATCATGATACGGTAGGTACCTACCTACTTACGCTTGTGTTAAAACTTCGGTGCATGTGTGTTTTGTTACTTTGCATAAAACAAAGTAAAGACGTGGTATTTTATTATTAATAATATTTGTTTATTATCTGTGTATGAATAATACTATAAAAAAAAATTTTACCGTCTGTGTGTCATTAGATAGTTTTCGAAATTTTCACAAAGTGTTTCTGCTGCTACTATAACAACATAAGTATACCACTAAAAACCGGTTTTATTTTCTCGGTATTAACAACAACAGCTAGATTCATATATAATATTTAGATGTTTGAGGGTTGTGATTTTAAAACATTCGTAGTCAGCTGTTCAGCTTTTTAATAATTAATTAATTGGTGACCAAAGAATTTTTGTTTTGAGTTGTTGCGAGTTGTAGGTAGGTACCTAATTTATAGAGACGTTAATAAGCTGAGTTTCTAAGGATTGGAGTTTTGTAACGCGTAAGGAGAAAGCACATTTTTTTTATTCTGTAGAAGGATTTTTAAGCTATTGCATAGCTTTTATTGCGGGCTCTGAGCGTGGCGCGGCGCGGTGACCGAATCAAGAAATTCTCAAACCTAACGAAAAATACCTGACACCACGCAGATTTTTTTCTTTAAAAAAAAAATGTTATGCAAAAGCTTTACCGCGGCAGTCTCCGAGAGTGCCACATGTATTTTTTTTCAGACGTCTTCAATGGTTGCAACTGATCCGGCGAGACGATTTGGAAAACAAACCTAACTTTAGTTAGTAAGTACTAAGTTTGTGAAAAACATTTTAATTTGGAGGATGTATTACATTCATCAAATAGAAAACTTTAAAAAAAGAATGCCCTACCATTGTTGATGCTGCCAAGCTTAGCTAGTACTGATCCAGGAGTCTCTCTAAAAGAAGATAAACAAACCCAAACTGCTCCGTTGGTAGGAAATGAAAATAGTACACAAACTGAAAATGCAACAAATGAAATCTTTGCTCCAACCTCAACGAGTCTCTCTAGCAACACTCCAAGAAAAAGAAAATTGAAACTTGAACTCCTCCAATGCAGAAAGAAAATAAAATAATTAAATCTACCAATCAAAAAACAACACACATTTTTATTGAACACTTCCTATTCAATATACAAAGTATTTCATTTATTTATATAAAAAGGATATTTACAATCACAAATCTAAATAGAAACAGAAAGTAGGCAAATATAATTAAAATGCTGGAGACGGTCAGCCCTAACGCATGCTTACGTACCGCGCGGCTGTAGGCATTTATTTCTATCATGCGGCCGAGTTACACTACTGTATTATAATTGTACCGTGCCGTTAGTGTCAACCGGTATGATAATGAGCAATTAATAGATTTTAGTCGCTTTTCCAATTACTCTCGCTTAGTACGTGCTATGGCTTATGTGTTGCGATTCATTAAATTATGTAGAAAGCAATCGTTAAGTTCTACCTTTCTATCAGGCGATGAATTAAAAGGGGCTTTAGACATTTTGAATATACAAAGTCAGAGTCAATCATTCCTCGAGTATAAATTACTTTTATCACAACAAAGGTTACCTAAAAGGAGCGTCCTTTTAAAGTTGAATGTCTATTTAGACAACGATAACATAATGCGTGTAGGAGGACGCCTCGACAATTCAGATTTTAGTTATAACAAGCGGCACCCTATTATATTATATTCCACTCACAACTTCACAAATTTACTTTTTAATTATAAGCATAAGAGGTTAATGCACGCAGGCCCTCAACTATTGTTGGGTTCAATAAGAGAGTCCTATGCCATGGCACGCAGGCCCTCGATATATGTTAGGGCTTT